GATACCCTGCAGGGATTGTAAGCTGGCCAAAGGAGGAGATACAGACCACAGATGTTAAGACACGAAAGCTCCTGACCATGCATGGAGGGTTCCATCCCAAATCCAGCACCCTGAGACTGTATGCAGGCCGGAAGGAAGGGGGCCGAGGACTAGTGAGTGTGGGAACCACTGTCCAGGATGAAACTCAAGCTCCTTGAGTACATCAAGGACAAGGCCCCGGCAGATGAGGTGCTCAGAGAATGTCTCAGACAGTGGGGTCCAGAGGAAGAGGTGCTGGAGGGACCATCATGGCAGGACAAACCCCTACATGGGGCGTACCACCGAACATAACTGAAGTGGCTGATATCAAGAAATCCTACCAATGGCTTGAGGGCTGGTCTGAAGGACAGCACAGAGGCACTGATCCTGGCTGCTCAGGAGCAGGCCCTGGGCACTCGAGCAATAGAGGCCCAGATCTACCACACCAGACAAGACCCACGGTGTAGACTGTGCAAAGAGGCTCCTGAGACAGTCCAGCACATAACTGCGGGGTGTAAAATGCTGGCAGGGAAAAGCATACATGGAGCGACATAACCAAGTGGCGGCATAGTGTACAGAAACATCTGTGCAGAGTACGGGCTGGAACCCCAGGATCAAGGTGGGAAACACCTCCAAAGGTTGTGGAGAATGACCGAGCCAAGATCCTGTGGACTTCCAGATACAGACTGACAGAAATGGTGATGGCGAACCAACAGACATAGTGGTGGTGGAAAAGAAAACAGAGCAGAGCCGTGGTGTTGACATCGCAATACCAAGCGATGGTAATATCAGGAAAAAGGAACACGAGAAGCTAGAGAAATACCAGGGGCTCAAGGAAGAGCTGGAGAGAGCCTGGAAAGTAAAGGCATCAGTGGTGCCTGTGGTGATCGGAGCACTCGGGGCTGTAACCCCCAAACTGGAAGAGTGGCTACAACAGATACCGGGAAAAACAACGGCCATCTCAGTCCAGAAAAGTGCAGTACTGGAACAGCAAAGATACTGCGCAGAACTCTCAAGCTCCCAGGCCTCTGGTAGACGACCCGAGCTGAATGAGGGTGAGAACCTACACCGTGGAAGGTGAGAAAACATTTTTATATATATATATATATATATATATATATATATATATAATATATATATATATATATATATATATATATATTTATTTATTACTGTATATAAGGGCCTGCAAGTCCTTCTCTGTTGGCCTAAAACAAATATTTACATCTATATTATTATTAAATAATTCCAAATGTTCTGTCGTCTTCCTTTCAGAGTTTTTCTGATGTTTGTGCTGCTTCCAGACATGTAGTTCCATATTAAAGGACGACCACGTTATGGATTGGGATGGGGCAAACATCATTGGGACAGAGGAAAACAAACATCGCCGCTGGATTAAAGAAGCAATCGAAATACGGAAACGTGCCCACAGGACTGTAAACCGGGACGAGGGGCTTTTTTACTCTCACACACCTGGGATGCTGTCCTGAGGAAGTCGGACTGCAGATGGCGCTGTCGTCCTGCCTCCACTGGTAGGAAGACAGCGCCAAAACCTGTTTAAATCAGCTGACCAGACACGTCACAGCAACATCACGTGACTCTGAGGAAGACGCTAGTGAGCAGTCGAAACTGTCAGGTATGAAATAACACTCTAGGTCTGAAAAAAAGAACCTAATAACATAGAATGGAGCAGGTCGGGCGACAGCTGTACTGGGCACCGTGCGGCCCGGAGCCCCAGCCCCAGCGCGGTCCTTTTGTCTGTGGTCACCATGACAGTCTACGCGGGCGCACCTTCAGGCCAGTCCCGACAAACAGTCCTGGTTTAGTTCTGGTTTAGTCCCGGTTTAGGATCCCAGCGCTCCTCACTTCTTCTCCGTGCACAGAATCTCCACGGCTCTTTATACTGTGTTTCTGTAGAATAAGATGCTTTTATAACCATGAAATAGTTACTGAGGAGTGGATTGTTTCAGACGGAGCACTACTGAAGGCCGAGGTGTGAAATGCACGCTCCACCACTGATATATATACACACACACACGCACGCGCACACACACACACACACCCACACACCACTTTCATAGTAGGCAATGTAGGTGAAGTGTCTTGCCTAAGGACACAATGACTCTGGTAAACCACAGCGACCTTTATGCTACAGACTATTCTAATAACACCAATGAAATGCTTCCAAATAAACACATATGTAATTTTATTTATCTGGTGTCAGTATAAACGACATAGGTCAGGTCTTGAGTTGCCTCGTCCTGTAAGGAAAAGCATAAACAGTCATAAACATGATCAGAGTCCTGTTTTTATAATTTATAAAACAATAATTTATATTGAGTTCAAATGTACCTCTCTGGATCCAGTGGGTTCTTGACTTTGAGCTGCAATGGAGTTTGTTGTCAATAAATATAAATAATAAATAATATAAATAAAAGGTAGTGGAAATAATAGTAGGAATAATAGTGATAATAATAACAGTAATAATAATTAATAAAAAGAAATGCCTTTAGGGTTATGTTTTTTGAGATTGTGACATATGGTGAAAGATGATGAGGGGAACTGATGATGGTAAAATAAATATTAGTTTGAGTATAGGGACTAATACATTTAAAAAATTATAATTTAAAAAAAAAAAAAAAAAAAAAAAAAAGGGAAGGAAGAGAGACAAAAAGGAACTTCAATTATAAATTGGCCGCAGTGTATCAATGTTCGGGAGCCTAGCGGTGTGTTTATGTTGCACTATCACATTTATATTGTTTTGACTTTGTGTTGGTGTGGGTGGTTGGGGGAAATGGGGGGGGGGCTTTTTGTATTTGTTGTGGTGTTGTGGTTGTTGCTTTATGTTTTTGTTTTTATGCTGAATATTGCAATTGTTAAACGTTGATGTTTGTTTTGTTTTTTTTTAATGTTATGTTCTGCTGTCTTTAATAAAAAACAAAAACAAAAAAACAAACAGTCATAAACATGATCAGAGTCCTGTTTTTATAATTTATAAAACAATAATTGATATTGAGTTCAAATGTACCTCTCTGGATCCAGTGGGTTCTTGACTTTGAGCTGCAATGGAGTTTGTTGTCAATAAATATTTTACAAATTGATGAAATAAATAAAATGCATCTTACCTGTTTGGTGTTTCTTGACTTTAAACGCGTCTATCACAAGTACAAGAAGAACACACAGACCTCCCAGTATTAAGCTTATCCATGATGCAGAAGTGCCTATAAAGATACATAAAAGTTTACAGACGTTAATCCTTTTACCAATGTATTACAATTTTTGTTTCATGTTTTAACCGAACTATCACATCTGGTATTTTCTTTTGGGTCTTGCGCATCGTCATCTTCAGAGAATAAATAATACATTTTGTTAGATGTATACAGACTCTTATTTTTCTATAAAGTCGCTCAGTTTAAAGAAAAACACTGGAGCCAAAACACATCCTTGGGGAATGTAATTTTTCACATAATTAAAAAGTTACTAAATTAAGAAATAGAATTAAATACCACACAAGTACATCAAATAATGTAAAGAGAAGACAAATTTAAAAATAGAATTAATAAAACATTTTAAATTTTACCTTCAACATTTAACTGCACAACATTAACCTCTCCATTTCCAAAAAGGTTAAAAACACAAAAGTAGAAACCATCAGCCATTTTGACACTCTTGATTCTGAGAGAGACAAAAGAACTGCTGAGAATTATTTCAAATCTTGCATTATTTTTCAATCTTGGACACAGCTATAATTCCCATTATGAACCAAACTGGCCCAAAGCACGTCTCCTTTGACTTTCCTGCATGACACGACTGCGTCTTCACCATGTTCGACTCTCACTACGACGGACCAAGAGTTCACGGCTAAAACCAAAATGAATAGTTTAGTTAATTAGCTTTAAGTGATGATAAATGTGTTCAAATGTTGAGGAAACAACATTAGAACATTATGTTGTAAATTGTGCAATATGGGCCCCTTAATGTCAGAATGCAAAACATTCCAGGCAAAGCCATTACACCAGAAAAGTTACATAATGCATCTTTAAGTGTACCTTCTTTGACATCCAAATAAGTTGATTCTTTGATAACGAGTCCTAAAGATGAATCATATCCACAGAAATACAGCCCAGAGTCTGAAGAGTTCACTGGGTTAATCTTGAGGAAGACGTGAGACGAGTTGGAAGTCGCTGTAAATCTTTTGTCTGGAGATGAAACAACGTCAGAAGATCTGTTTATGCCTGAAATCCTTCTGAGTGTTGATCTCCTCACAGCTCGATACCAGGAGATTGTAGCAGGATTACTGGTGTAGTTTAAACACAACAATTTGACACTTTGCCCGGACTGGACTTCAACTGACCTCAACTCTGAGCCCAAAACACACGATAAACCTGCAGCAATACAAGCACTGAAAAGTATTTTATCGTATCCACGGAGGTGAAAATGTGACAAAACATCGACTCACTGATACTGAAGAGAAGAACTGTTGAAGAGAAGCTCGTCATTCTGAATCTGCAAAGACAAACGCAGCACTGGACACTTTTAAACTGTCTCAGTGTTATAATCTGTTTTCACATGGACCACGTGATGTGCTCTTTGTATTTGAGACATACTGTAAGTGTGCGGAAGTGCAAGCTAAAATGTGAACCCACAAGAGTGAATGACAAACTGCCCGAGAAAACACTAAACTTGTGATGTTTAAATCTAGATCACTGTACCGTTGTGTATATTCTAATGTATATTCTAAAAATACTTTTGGTACAACCTTCCCAACACTGACCCTAACATTAATGAAAGATGCAGTTGCTATTTTTCAGTAGACTTGTTATGTTGATGCACAATGCTTTTGTGGTTTACTCTGCACTTCAGTGGAAAAAGGAGCAGTGAAACATGTGTATGTGCTGCACTAAACACCACAAAACTGTGGTAAACCACAGCGACCTTTATGCTACAGACTATTCTAAAAACACCAATGAAATGCTTCCAAATAAACACAAATGTCATTTTATTTATCTGGTGTCAGCGTAAATCACATGTGGATCATTTTGTAAGGCTCTTCTGGAGTGTCTTGTTTTTGGCTGGAAATTCACGGCTGCGTAGTTGAGGTCTTGAGTTGCCTCGTCCTGTAAGGAAAAGGATTAACAGTCATAAACATGATCAGAGTCCTGTTTTTATAATTTATAAAATAATAATTTATATTGAGTTCAAATGTACCTCTCTGGATCCAGTGGGTTCTTGACTTTGAGCTGCAATGGAGTTTGTTGTCACTAAGTATTTTAGAAAGTGATGAATAAATAAATAAAATGTAGCTTACCTGTTAGGAATTTCTTGACTTCACGAGCAAATTGAACTATCACAAGTACAAGAACAACACACAGACCTCCAACTATTACACCGACCCATAATGCAGAAGTGCCTATGAAGATAAATAAAGGTTCCTAATTAATCCTTTTACCAATACATTACATTTTTGTTTCATGTTTAAACCAAACCATCACATCCGGTATTTTCTTTAAGGTCTAACATCTTCAGAGAATAAATAATACATTTTATTAGATGTATACAGACTCTTATTTTTCTATAAAGTCGTTCAGTTTAAAGAAAAACATTGGAGCCAAATCCCATCCTAATGGAACTCCATTTTTCACATAATTAAAAAGTTATTAAAATTAAATTAAATACCACACAAGGATGTCAAATAATGTAAAGAGAAGACAAATTTGAAAATAGAATTAGTAAAAAAATAAAATCTTACCTTCAACATTTAACTGCACAACATCGACGTCTCCATTTCCGAAAGGTTTAACGACACAAAAGAAGAAACCACTATCGGCCATTTTGACACTCTTGATTTTGAGAGAGACATGAGAATTGTCGACACTAATTTCAAATCTTGCATTATTTTCCATTCCTGGACACATTGAGGTGTCGTTGTTGTTGGTGGCGATGCACTTGTATTTCCCATTATTAACCAAACTGGCCCAAAACACTTTTTCTTTGACTTTCCTGCATGTCAGGACAACGTCTTCACCAGGTTTGACCGTCACTACGACAGACCAAGAGCTCCAGCCTAAAACCAAAATGAATAGTTTAGTAAATTATCTTTAAGTGATGATAAATGTGTTCAAATGTTGGATGGTACTTACTGAAGCTGGTCAGAAGAAGAGCCGCTGTAATGAACTTGTTCATGGTGCGTCAGTGGAAATCGAGGGAACTTGATAAAGCTTTTAAGAGGTTTGCAGAGGGGCGGGCTTTTCATCTTAACGTCAGCGCTCATGCAGGCCACATAAAGGATGTCCGGGCATGATGGTGTAAAGTGAGGTGACTAAAAGCATATCTCAGTATCTTGGTGCAAACCTTTGAAGGACAGACTTTTTCATGTCTTTTATATAAACGTCTGATATCTCTAGAAACAGGTCCTTCCTGTTCACGACTGCAGCTCTGAGAAACCCACCTGTATCATTTGTAAATCTGTAACTCAAAATAGAACTTTGAAAATGCCAGTGATGAAGTCAGTGTAAAAATAGAGATGGGGCAGTCATGTTCTTTCCTGTAGTATTTTTTACTTTGTCTGTGAGAACATCGTGTCATTGGTCGACTTCAGTTTGAGAGTTTTAGACATTTTTTGCTTCTTTATTTCTGTTAAATCAAAATGGAACATGTTCTGAAGCTCTGTTGACCTCATGAGAAGCTGTGAACCCAGCGGCTCTTAAGTGCAGTGGGCCAGTGCGTCCTCTGTTCTGCCACATGGGGGCAGCAGTGAGTCATGAAATCCTCAGGCTGGTCTGATGTTGAGGTGATGACCTGAGCTGCACTTGTGTTTGAGAAAAATGGTGAAAAATTGTGAATGAATTTAACTGATGGAATACTTTGAGAAAACAATTTGTGTTTTTTAAAAATATTTTTTTATTCATTTTGTAGGACAGAATATACACACACAGTTTAGTATAAAAACATTTTGTCACACTTATAAAAATAAAAATAAAATATAAAAACAACACAAATAAGTAGCAGAACAAGGAAGACCATTTCCTAAAGGTGCACTCTGCAGATTTTTAATATGGGGGGAAACATTTGCACAAAATTATTTTTTTCCTTCCCGAAAAGTCGATAGAAAAGCCATGCCATAGGTGAGAGTAGGAACGAAGATTGACAGTAAATCGAGAGCTTCGCCTTTCGACTCAGCTCAACAGTTCGATACAGCGACCGCATCACTGCCGCGCTGCACCATCTGCACTGTCGAACCTCGGATTCAGGAGGAGCAGTGTGGATTTCGTCCCGGTCGTGGAACACTGGACCAGCTCTACACTCTCCATCGGTGCTCGAGGGTTCATGGGAGTTTGCCCAACCAGTTCACATGTGCTTTGTGGATCTGGAGAAGGCATTCGACCGTGTCCCTCGCGGTGTCCTGTGGGGGGTGTGCTGTGTGACCGTGTCCCTCGTGGTTTAAACCAAATAGATTTCTGCAATTTATATGAATTTTAAGATAAATTGTACTTAAAAAAATCATAGTATATTTATGTATGAGTATTTATGGAGTATATAAGCGTCGTAGAAATGCAGTTTTTCCTTTTAAAACATCTTAAGAAGATCTTAGAGTGAATCTTTACAGTCAGAATAGAAATAATTCAGATTTAAAGCTGCTCCTCAAATCTTTTCAAGTCACAGGCCTCAAGTCCGAGTCAAGTCCCAAGTCAAATGACCTTCAAGTCCAAGTCGAGTCCCAATTCTTACTCCATTTTATCAAGTGAAGTCTCAAGTCCTAAAAATAGTGACTCAAGTCTGACTCGAGTCCAAGTCACGACTTGCAAGTCCCCACCTCTGCTCTCCAGCGACTCGGTCAGGAATCAGAATACACTAGACGGTTTGCAAGAACCCCTGAAGTGCAAGTTCGGGCACCGGCCAATCAGCGAAGAGCCAGACATTCTGTGTTGGCAACGAATTTCGAGATCGACAAAGAGAATGTTTGGTGAATTTTTTCAAGGGGAAAGACGTTATTTCCCATCTTCCTACGGAATTTGGCGCATTACATTCATTATGACCAAAAAGCAGCGACTGGTTAAATAAAAAAAAGTACCCGCCTAACATCGAGCGAACGAATCCTAATGCTGCGATTAGTCGGTTTCTACGAAGTGACACCAGCTGATGAATCAGGCTAGTCAGCAATATGGAAAACTCTAAAATAGGACTCTCTTCTTGCAGTAATTCTCAACGTATTTTTCAACTTTTATTTCACAAACTGCGTCTTGATTGGTGTCAAACTAGAAGTGATATTTACATCAGGTATCATCTCACCAAATTCAGTAGAAATGAGAGAATCATACGCACCAATCCAGTGACAAATTTGGATAAAGTAAGAGAATTGCCAAAAACAGTCTCACTGGTTCAAAAATCAAGCATTTCTACGGAGTGACATGAAAAACCAAATGTCAAACGTGAGATCCTTTGTTTATTTCTTAGTATTGTCATGAATTATCAATGCCGTTTCCACATTTGCGCCACGTCATTACCTCACCGCCAGTGACGCTATACTGTATTTTATAATTTACCTCTTGCTCTGACTGTAAATGCGTGAAGGTGTTTTGGTGATAAAATGATTCAGGTTGCCTGTGACTCACTGCTGCCTGGCTCAGATCCTGAAGAAAGTCTAGAGCAATAACAGGACAAAGAAAATCATCCCATCCTTTTTCAATGCAGGGCCCCTTACGTCCCCGAAATACCCCGCAGTGAAACTCCAAGGGTTTAGAGTTACGGTTGAGTTAGGGTTGAGGTTAGGGTTAAGGGCCGTTCACACCAAAGAGTCAAAGCATCCAGTTTCTATGAGTGCGTATACATGCACATCAATAACCCGGTTATGATCGGGTTTTTTGAGTATCCCGGTTTCTTGATGGTGCATGTAAACGCAGTAACCCGGTTTCAGTAACCCGGTTATGGCAGTATCCCGGTTATTAGAAACCGGGTTACTGTAGCTGGTTTATTCCGATAGTAACCGGGATACTGTGGCATGTAAACGCAGTACCCCGGTTACTGCAACATAAAGTTGAGTGCGCATGCGTCCAAAAGACACTTTCCAGCCTTTCACCACAACAGTAGTGACATAAATAAATTGACCAACATAAATAAAGTGACCAAACGAGTGAAATGATGTAAAATAAAGAGCTGCGCTAAACCTGCACACGTACAATCTGCACTCGTACGACCTGCACTCGTGTGACGCTGAAAAGCTAAAACATGAACTATCTCCTATACTCTATACGCACGGAAACACACTTACCATCATCAGCACCTCTTCTGTCACAGAAGAAATAACACACATAATCCACAGAGTCGTGTCATTTAGTCCAAAAGAAACTGATCGCATCAGCAGCGCAAGGAGCGAGTTGTTTTTATCGCCGCTAACAGTTTATGCTAATTAGCCTACGGTCTTAAGTTTTCGTTTCTGTAAAACGTAAACAAATGTGATCACAGCTGAATTATCTGATCAAACGGGCTGATGTGGTCTATAGTGTTTATGGTTTATATGTTGTAAAGTTGAGTTTATTTATGCAGAAGATTTTAATGAAGAATCTGCACAGTGGATTGTGGGAGATCTCGTAGCTCCTTAGCATCTTATGCTAAAGGAGCTCACGGTTTGTATTTTTCCTGGTTTATGAAATTGATTTAAGTTAATTTTTGCACCTGCGCATTTGTAAGATTATGTCAAGAAACCGGGATACTCCATTTGATCATGTACACGTGGATATGAGTGTCCCGGTTTCTCAGTGCGCATGTATACGCAGTAACACGAATACTGACATAACCGGGGTATGGCTAATAACCGGGTTATTGATGTGCATGTATACGCACTCTATGTAAAGTCTATGTGGACGCGCGACTAGAGCGTCCTGCGATTTTGCGGTGCGTCTTCGGGCATCAGCACAGCGCAAATCTGGCGCGGGGCGTCTTGAGCGTTTTGGCGTCAGTGGTCTAGACGCGCGTTCAAGGCGTCAGCTTCAGAAGTTGAAAATGCTGAACTTTTCGCGTCAGACGTGCCTGCGTCAACCAATCAGGGACGAGTATCCAGTGACGCAGCGATGTTATTATCAGGAAGAAAAACCCGAGAACCAGAGCGAGAGCCACAAACATGAGCGGAGAATAAATATATACACCACAATCACCGAGACGATCGCCAGGACTACACCAGAACTGGACCAGAACTAAACCAGGACTAGACCAGGACTAAACAAGGACTAGACCGGGAGTAGACCGTGACTAAACCAGGACTGATCCAGTGTCATTAGCGGAGTATAAATATATATAGTCTAAACTCAAATGCAAAGGCGTCCAAATAGAGCCGTCAAGGCGTTTTTTCACGCTTTGGTGTGAACGGCCCTTTAGAGTTACAGTTGGGTTGGGTTAGGGTTGGGGTTAGGGTTGGGACTAGGGTTAGAGTTACGGTTGGGTTAGAGTTACGGTTAGGGTTAGCGTTAGGGAAGAAAGGACCGGTGCAGAGCTCAGAGATGACGAAGTACGTGCAGCCGTTGCGCTTTTCAGACACCCTGCTCCGCGTGGCTCAGGGTTCTCTCTCTCTCTCTCTCTCTCTCTCTCTCTCCCTCCAAGATTAGTCCTGGTTTAGTCCCGGTTTAGACCTGATTTAGTCCTGATGTAGTCCTGGTTTAGTTCTGACCTGCCTTTAAAATTCCAGAACATTAAAACCTGCTTATTTCAGCAACTATTTGTCCGTATCTGTTGGTGCAGGACTCGGTGCAGAACATCAGATTTTAATCACACTCGTAATGTAAGTTAATTATAGGTGAATTTACTTTATTAAGGAAAAAAAACGGAGGTGTTTTATGTGCGTGTTAATAGATTTAAACCTCATTAAACACAAATGCGTTGCAGTTGTACACTTAATTCACAATACACTTAATACAAAATGTGATGTCTGAAAACAGTGAGAAGATGTGCAGGCTGTAGCAGGAGCGTCTCTGACACTCTGGTGTGAATTGAAACTTTTTAAATTTACGCGTACGTGCAGCTCCGCCTACATTAACGCTGCTGCAGCTCCTGGTGTGAATTTGGGGTTAGAGCTACGGTTAGGGGTTGGGGCTAGGAGTTACTGTACTGTACTGTACTAGAGTTACTGTTAGGGCTAGATTAGGACTTCACAACACAACAATGACAATTTACTTCAAGACAAACTGAGAAAAATCTTTCCACAATATAAATTTCCATCACAATATATTCTTTTTGTTTTTTACCAACATACAAAGACAATAAAAAAAGAACAAAAGGTAGAACAATAACAATACATTACACCTACTTATACATATATACACATATATATATTATACATTCACACATGCATATACACATCACATGTTTACATGTGATGTGTATATGCACACACACACACACACACACGACACACACACACACACACACACACACACACACACACACACACACAGAAGTTCATATACACACATACATACTCATAAACATCTCAACATCTATTATAACATTTCTATATTTCATATCCATAAACATCAGGCTGCATAATTTTTGCCCCAGTGTCAGAAATTCAACTTGTACTCAATTTTAAAATGTGACAATACTAATTAAAAGAAAATCTGTAGAATATTTGCTCAGTTGAATTAAATCTACTGAGTCCAACAAGTCTCTTAAATTCCATCCTAACAGCGTCCGTAACGCTCTGGTAGAAAAAAAAAAAAAAAAAAATATATATATATATATATATATATATATATATATATGTGTATATGTGTGTGTGTACTGATGTTGTGCTTCCTCATGGCTCTTTTGGTTTTCTGCGACGCCCTGATGCGTGGCACTGTGACTGCTGCGGGTTCGTTGCTGTTGTTTTATTCTTGACTTATATCTGCTTGTTCTTCATATAAGGTGCATCAAATGAACTGTGATCTTTTGACGACCCTCTGTGGTTTAGATGTTTGTGAACAAAACAGGCCTGACGTGTGCAGAGTTCACCGAGGTGGGCTGTGGTTGGTATAAACATAGACTCAAGATGCTCGCATGTTCCTGTGTGATGGACAGACCGGATGAAGATGACTCTGCTTCTGATTCCACTGCTCTGCAAGTTTAAAGTTTAATCTCTTTTATAGTTATACGGTTACATATTTTTGAATTGTTTAAAAAATAGTAAATAATGAAAACTAAAACTATGACCAAAAGAACAGAAGGGACGAGTGGAGACACAAAACATTACATTTGTTTTAATTTAACTTTAAACTTTACTTTATTAAGTCTAAGCCTCACATAAAAAAAAAAATCAAGTGTACATGTGTTTATTTATAACATCAGATGTCGAGGGAATCTGCACATGGAAATTAGAGCGAGTTTTTAATGTGACATATTTACATTTGTCTAAATATTCGTTCATATGCGTCGATCCCTCTTTTCTTAAATAAAATAGTAAAATTTTCTATCTTGACGCCCAATCACACCTTCATTAAACTCACTTTGAGGGAGTTAAGGACATTTTTGTAAACCTGAAATGTATTTGGCTATAAAAACAAAAAATCTGGATTCATATTTTTTCAATTTTGTTTTGCATTTCATACTTCAAGAATAACAAAAAGTTTAATTTCTTTTTTATACTTAATGCATGGTTCATTTTAAGAGCCTGATTTATGGTGTTAGAAATATGTACATATATATATATATATATATATAATATATATAATAATATTGCTTTATATTATTATTATATATATATATTATATTATATTGCTTATAATATTGTTTTAATAATATTGCTTATTTAAGGTCCTTGATGTCCTAAAGAAATAACACTTTTGCCTTATCTCAGAAACTAATGATGATAGAGACATAAAACTGGTACCAAATGATACGCAAAGTCCATATTTATATATTCAACTGAAGAAAAACTGATGTTTCAGCTCAGATTTTATCTTCTGCAGGGACTAAACATAAGAGACTTGGTGGACCCAGTAAACAATAATAGAATTTCATGAAATTTCTCATGGAACTTTACTTTGGTAATTGTAAAAAATTGATACTAGGTACAGACTGATTTTCAAACATTGTTCAAAAAGTTGGGCAAATGATGCGCCCTAATATACATACACGCAAGCTCACAGACATACAGTATATAACTTTGAATACACAAAAGTTATGGCAACATACCTATTAAAAAAAAAAACAAAAAAAAATAAAAAAATCAGCCTGAACACATTGCTCCTCCAAATTATAACAATGCTCTACATACTGACAAAAAACAACAACATTTATAGATTCAGCATTTCTCGCCTTAAAAATAAATTTCGTCCCCAAATGAATAATCAAGTTTACAAGTTAATATATATATATTTTTTATGTTAATGTAATATATTGTGATGTGTGAGCTGCTGTGTCCAAATAATTTCCCTCGTGGATCAATAAAGTTTGTCTAAGCCTAAGTCTGTTTTTATTTAAAGTTGGAAATAACACTAGACATGTTTTTGTTCACACCCAAATTTATAGCCTACAGACACAGTGTCATTTACAGATCTGCTGCTAGTTCCTGTGTCTAAACCACACGGCCGTACGTACAAGTGACGTTTCACAGGCTTCACTACATTTTTATTGTAAACTCACATGGTGTATAGTATTGCAAATAAAAAGTAACCCCCCAAGAGACTTTCTCGATGTCATAGTTCGAAGATCTGTCAAATGTCAGTGTCAAAAACAGACCTGGAGTTGTGTTTTGTTTCATTCACACACGTTTGAGTAACACTTTCTTTCTGCTGTCTACATCTCCAAAGCTCAAAATGCTCTGTTCCACCTTGTGATGTCATGAAGCCGTAGTTTTCAAGTTAACAGAATTTACTTTTTACCTTTTATTCAGTAGAGATCATTGATTCAAGAGCGGAAACACAACTCCAGGTGTAATTGTGATGAGGAAACAACAAATATACATATAACCTGATCAGAAAATAGAGTAATAAAACAGCTCACGGTGTCTCTGGTTCTTGTCGTCCCTTGTTCACCGCCGCATACATAGCCTCGTTTTGACTTTTCTCTCGAGTGGACCTGGGTTTGCGAGTGAAATTCACGGCCGCGTAGTTGAGATTTTCCGAGTTCTCGGCCTAGGAAGTGAAAACGTGCTTTGTCAGTTTTAGAAAACATTAGACATTCGACAGATTTGACAAGATTCTGGTGTCCATTTACCTCGGGTTGTTCAGTCAGTCCTTGGTGATGAGCTAGAACACATGTAAGTGTTAATAAAAATAAGTTTTATTCAGATATTTGACAAATTAATTATGTTCAAACAATAATTAACAGATACATGAAGGCAGTTGTTTTAAATTCACAAATGTAGTTTTTAAATCAATAATATAGTCTTCAAATAAAAATAAAAATTGAATACCTTGGAGCTTCTTGATCTTTAGAGCCAAACCGATCACCACCAAAATTAGAAAGAGCACAAGACCTCCCAGAACCAGAACCAGAACCAGAACCAGCACACTTTTGTCCATCACTCCTGTGCAAATACAAATATTATAAAAACAAAAGAAACTGACAACAAATATTCATTAAAAGTGCACTTTAAAATGTGGCTTTTCTGGTGAAGAGTCAGCCGCCTGCTTTTCTCTGTGGAGATGTTATTTCTTTACATTAGACATGTGAAACTTGACATGTAAAATTTGGCCCGTGATTTAATTATATTTGGCCCATGAGATCATATCAAATCTGTATTAGAGCTGCCCGCCGTCTACAGATCGAATATAGAGACGTTATTTATTAAAATGTTGTTATTATTTTATATTCTGCTTGTTCTGGATTCAATGTTTAAGCAAAACTATTATTAAATATTTATTTTAATAAGAAAAGGTTTAACATTTCATATCTCAAAAGAAGAGAAAACATGCAGATGTTGTTGAAATGTTTCAATATTTAGTTTGGCCCACGACTTAGTCCCAGTTTTTAATTTTGGCCCTTAGTAAATTTGAGTTTGACACCACTGTTTTACATTATTTGGTGCACAGTTGGTCTGTCTGCGTGGAAACAGTAGGTGACAAGTTCAAGGTAAAGGTTTAAGTCAGACCTGTGGAAAAGTGCAAAAGCTCACAGCAAGAAAAACATTAGAATATTTTTAACTACAAAAAACTGCGTAATTTAGTAAATACAAGGCAAAGCATTCATATTTCCACAGAGACAAATACTAGTAGGTGATGAGCCTCCACCAGAAAAGTTACATAATGCATCTTTAAGTGTACCTTCTTTGACGTCCAAATAAGTTGATTCTTTGATAACGAGTCCTAAAGATGAATCATATCCACAGAAATACAGCCCAGTGTCTGAAGAGTTCACTGAGTTAATCTTGAGGAAGACGTGAGACGAGTTGGAAGACACTGTGAATTTTTTGTCTGGAGATGAAACAACGTCAGAAGAACTGGTTATGCCTGAAATCCTTCTGAGTGTGGATCTCCTCACAGCTCGATACCAGGAGATTGTAGAAGGATTACTGGTGTAGTTAGAACACAACAGAGTGACACTTTGCCCAGACTGAACTTCAACTGACCTCGACTCTGAGCCCAAGACACACGATAAACCTGCAGCAATACAAGCACTGAAAAGTATTTTATCGTATCCACGGAGGTGAAAATGTGATAAAACATCGACTTACTGATACTGAAGAGAAGAACTGTTGAAGAGAAGCTCCTCATTCTGAATCTGCAAAGACAAACGCAGCACCGGACGGACTGGAGTCTTGAGTGTCTGTCTTGTCTGTCTTAATTTAACACATGTGGGCACAAGTCTGTCACTTGGTAATAAACATACAGAAGTTGAGATATAACGGAAGTGAAAAGAGGCGGAAAGTTCTGAGAGAAAGAGAGACTAAATAGAGGAATTATTCATATATTTTCAGATGGAACTTAGAACTCATCATGTTTTACTCTGAGAAGATCAAATACTAAAACACTGAAGCTTAAATCTAAGTATCACTGTGTTTTTTTAAGGTTCACTTTTCTTCCAAACACTTTCTGCAGTCATCAGTTTGAACACAAGCTGTGGTGGAAGATAATCAAATACAAAAGTAAAAATACAATGCAGAAGTACAATTTTTAGGTGTCATTTACTTTCACTTCACTACATTTGGGAGCATGTGTCTGTACTTTCTACTCCACTACGTTTTAGATAGATAGATTTATTTATTGTCATTGTATGAAATACAACGAAACTTCAGCAGAGCAGATCTGTAGCAGTAAAAATTTACAATATATACACACATCCTCACATCCATACCAATAAAAAAAACATTCATTAAATAAAATAAATAGATTATTGCACTGAGTCCCTTCAGGTCTTTTATCTGTGCCTGGACTGAAAAGTAAAAAGTACTTTTCCTTATGGTTTGAGACCTGCTGAAAAGGCCGAGACTAATTTTTTAGCACTTTTAATTTGAGTTAACGTCCCAACTTTGAGCAAATCAAACACACAAAAACAGAAAAATTAGCAAATCAATTGAATCTCTTAAAATCCGCTAAACTCACGATCAAAATCACTACATTTCATCCTTTAATTGTTCTAAAACTCAACTTTTTACTCTTTAAGTACATTTTTGAACAAGTACGTTTACTTAAAAATACTTTTCCATGCAATACTTGAGTAATCTTTTGCCGTGGTATCTGTACTTTCAATTTCACAAAATTGAGTATTTCATCCACTACTGAACAAAAGTAAGAGGAGAGTTGTATTATTTTAGGTGTTTTTACCTGAGTGTCGATGTTTGGGTCTTGTCCTGGAGGTACATTAGTCTTCTGTAGACTGAGAGCTGTCATAGTTTAGTGTTTTGTCAGTTTTCTCACCTTAGTTCGAACCACACACGTCTCTTCCTGTGAAATCAGCTTCAGATGCACAAAACAGGAACAAGTCTTTCTGCCTGTTCCGTTTTCGAAGTTATTTCAGGTCTTTATTACTTTATTCTTTTTTTTTTTTTTTTTTTTTTATGTTTGTTTTTTTTTCTTTTCATTTAATTTGATTTAGTCTTTTCAAAAACAAAACTTTCCTTAATTCACTTAATAATTTTACTTTTACTAATTTAACATAAGAGTGGCAAAGGAAAAAATCTATTTGTCAACTGGACAAAAGTTTGTTTTGGTTCCCTTGTATCTGCCTGAAGGGAGGAGCTAACTACACTGAAACTACTCTGAAACTAACACACCTACTTGTTTATAGTTTCTGTTTGTTGGCTTCATTCTCAGTACACAAACATCGAAAACATGTTAAATCACCTTTATTTAATTCCGCTCAGCGTCTGGAGTTGGGGAAGCTTCCTGTGAGCTTCAGGACAGATTTTAAAGTTCTTTTATTGGTTTATAAAGCTCTTAATGGTCTTTGTCCTATTTATTTATCTGATCTGCTTTTATCATATGAGCCTCTCAGGTCCTCAGGTAGTCTTCTTTTAACTGTCCCAAGAGTCCAAACTAAAACTCACGGTGAGGCCTCATTCAGCTTTTACAGCCCCCGTCTGTGGAACAGTCGACCTGAGGATCTGAGGTCCGCTGCGAGTGTTCATATTTTCAAAAGTAAACTCAAAACGTATCTTTTTAATTTAGCTTTTAATTGAAACTTTTACTTGTTTTATCATTATTATTATTATTATTATTATTATTATTATTATTATTATTATTATTATTACTATTTGCTTTTAATTAAATTACCATTAATATTTTATTTAGTCTCCATCTGTTTTTAGCTCTCTATTTATATATTTACTATAACCTTTAGGAGCTTTATGTTGATGTTTTATTGTTGTATATATGCATGAAATAATGGGGTGGGGGGTTGCTGTTATTTTTTTTATATTGTAAATTTATTTTATTTTATTTTATTTATTTATTTTTTTCTGTTGCATGTGAAGCACTTTGTGCTACATTTCAAATGTATGAAAAGTGCTATACAAATAAAGTTTGATTGATTGATTGATTGAAGAGTTCTGAATTGGACAGAGACACCAACGGATTTATGTCGACCGGAAGAAAACACACACTTCAGCTGCTACCGGCTTTTCTGTCATCTCGGTTTGTCGTTACACCACGGACATAAACACGATCCAAACTTTTCTCGCGGTGGTTCCGATGATAATTGCGAAGCAGCAGCTGGAGAATTGTCTCATCACGCTTTACGTCTGTCAGCTGAGGAGGAGAAGGGAGGAAGAAGACAAACTGAGTGTGAGGCCGCTCTACCTCAGCCCACTACTAGGACTACTATAATAATTTAGTTTGGAGTTTTTAGATGACTTGACCAGGAAGATATTGAAAAAAGCATGAATTAATTAACCCTAAAAATACATAAAAAGTATCAAAAAGTGCAAAAGTCCGGCATCCCAGTTTAAGTCATGAAAATGGGAAACGTTTCCATGACTACGGGTCGTTTCCATGATCATTTTTCACCTTTATTCGGATTTCCATTTTTCCTTTAAACACAAAATGGTAAACTGAAAAAAAAAAAATTGTTATCTCTTTTTCATTTTGGTTTTGGAGACAAATACTGAAGAAAATAGTTGTTTTTTTATTTTTTAAATTTTTGGTTTTATTTTGAAAAATTAACGAAGGAGAATTACCCCCAATTCACACCAAAGTTCAACGGAGCACATGAGCAGCAGCACAGCACACGAGCAGCAGACGCACAGCTTTAGAATTCAATTTTAACCGGTCTGACAGTGTAACACCGACAGTGTCATACACATGTCCAACGAGCGTCTGACACTGATGCGCAGTTCTAATTTTGCAGCGTCAACGGCGCGTCTCCAAGGTTTTTAGCAGGGGAAAGACAGGAAATAAACACGCGGTGTCAAAATAAACTTCCGATGCCCTTTCAAAATAACTTAACCAAAGTCAAGACAATGACGTAAAAAACACGGACTGTGTCCAAGGAAAGATTAATGATGGACGACGAAAAGTTAATCCTCGAAGTGGAGAAATAGAACGTGATTTACGATGTCAGACACCAATTCTACAAGGACTCAGGACTAAACCAGAACTAAACCAGAACCAGGACTCACTGTCTGAATGTGCCCGGAGGTCCTCCAGTGTACACCTGAGTGACCGCGGGCGAAAGGACCGGTGCAGAGCTCGGAGACGAGGAGGTACGTGCAGCCGCCGCGCTTTCGGACACCCTGCTCCACGAGGCTCGGGGTTCTCTCTCTCTCTCTCTCCAAGATTAGACCTGATTTAGTCCTGGTTTAGTCCCGGTTTAGACCTGGTTTAGGACCTGGTTTAGTCCTGATGAAGTCCTGGTTTAGTCCTGACCTGCCTTTAAAATTCCAGAACGTTAAATCTCGCCCATTTCAGCGACTGTTTGTCCGTATCTGTTGGTGCAGGACTCGGTGCAGAACATAAGATTTTAATCACACTCGTAATGTAAGTTAATTATAGGTGAATTTACCTTATTAAGAAAAAAACCCTGAGGTGTTTTATGTGCGTGTTAATAGATTTAAACCTCATTAAGCACAAATGCATTGCAGTTGTAGACTTAATTCACAATACACTTAATACAAAATGTGATGTCTGAAAACAGTGAGAGGATGTGCAGGCTGTAGCAGGAGCGTCTGACACTCTGGTGTGAACTGAAACTTTCAAATTTACGCGTACGTGCAGCTCCGCCTACATTAACGCTGCTGCAGCTCCTGGTGTGAATTCGTGGTTAAAGAGAATAACATGAGATGAATATGAGACTTTTATTATTATATGTTTATTTATTTAATTAGACAGGGACAGTGCACAGTCTACATTAACCTTAACAGGAGAGATGCTTGTACCAAAGTGCCGTTATGAGACAGATCTGAAAACTCAAATAGTGAACTGTGAGAGACATAACTTAGACAGAGATTCCAAGTAAGGATATCAAATTGAGACATATTTGAAAGCAGCACAATATATCAATTTTTGTCTTAGCTGAGATCAAGAACAGAGACGCTGTGAGAGAATTTGGAGAACTCATCCAATGTTCACTGTTACACTTATTTCTCAGGAGAGACATTTGAGAAGAATTAGGAAACCACTTTGGTCTCGATTAGTGCTCATTTATATCTAGGAGATGTACTGTATTTTTTGCATTATAAGTCGCACTTTTTTTCGTGGTTTGGATGTTTCCTGCGACTTATACTCCGGTGCGACTTATATATTAAAATTTTCAGCCACCAGAGGGCGCTCTAGGCTTCAGTTTCTGCGCATGTCTCTTGCAGATATAGCCTCTGTCCTGCTGCAAGTCGTGAAATATGCAGCAGAAAACGGTAATCGAGCAGCAGAAAGAAAGTTTGAAGTGAGAGAGAAACTTGTGAGGGACTGACGAAAAGCGAGTGTGCTGTTCTAGTTTTTTCCTGAGCCGCTAATTGCTATTTGTTTGTGTTCATGCCTTTTGTGTTGTGGCTCCTTTAAGAAAGGAATAGTTCTATCAGTAGATCATGTGACATTAAAACCAGGAAGTTCAGTAAAGCATGGCTCTGAGAGGTGTTAATGTTCATCAAGTTAATCCAAAACTCATCTACATACATCTTACGCCTTTGGTAGCATCGTGGGTATGTACTGTTTATTTGTTATGATATCTTCATTTGTATATGATTATTTGCTGTAAAATAGTAGGCTGTTGGGTTGGAAAAGAAAGTTATAAGTGGATAATGTTGAATTGCTCTATTGTCATTTTGGTTCAGATGAATGGGTTTTTCTAGGGAATATAATTGTATGTTTGGTTTCATGTGGTGTTAAACTTGGAGTAACAAATACAAAAGTTAAGGAATATTATATGGTGGCGATATGTAGTCGATTTGTGATTGGACATACTGCATTCATTTTGCATATCTTTTTGTGTTCTTATTGGAGGTGCACATTGTGATTTGTGTTTTCATGTCTGTTTCAGTTTCACCTTTTCTTGTCACGTCAATAAACCTGTGGACAACGAGATTAAGTCTTCAGAGTCTTGATGTCAAGAAGAAGTTTAGCTGTCTGTCTAGTTGTATTCAGCACATATAGCAAGGGCAGAACAGCGGGGATGGAGAAACAGCTTGACAGTAACCGGGAGGATGCACCGTGAAACTTTCCTGGAAGTCACTGGATGGATGGACAAAGCCTGGACATCAGTGAAGTTGCGCGGAGTTGCTCAGAAGTGACACAGAAGATCAAGAATTCAATGGATTTAATATAGTGATGTCGAGATGAAGCTCCATGAAGCTCGGAAGTGTTTCATCCATTTGCTCGACTCTTGAACCGATGCTTCAAGGTGCTTCATTTGCTCCACTGCGCCATCAAGTGTCCAAAAAATGTATAACAGGCAGAGTGAAAATAGAACAACCAACATGATCATCGAGGTTCTGATGGAAAAATTTATACTGAACAAATGAATGATGAAATATTTGAATTTGTTTGTGATTTCAACATCAACTGTGAATTTATTAACCTGGAGTCTGTTTTTTTTTTTTTTACATGAAATATATTAGACAAGGGGAAACACTGTGTTGTTAAATTTGTGTATTTAGTAGGGATGGGCATTCGATGAAATTTTCTTAATCGATCGTCGGGAGAATTAACGATCGATTATCGATTAATCATTAACGTTTTTATATTAAAATGATCATCATTATTATTACTATCTGCACTAATCTGCATAAATAAATTCAACTTTACGACATATAAACCGTAACGACTCTAGAGCCACATCAGCCCATTTGACATTATAATGTGTTTAATTCAGTTTTGTTCAACTCTCACAGAAACAAAACTTAAAACCACATCACTAATTTGCATAAACTAAGCGAAGATAAAACTCCAGCTCTTGTGTCGCTAATGTGGTTCAACTTCTGTCAGATTAAAAGACATGACTCAGGTGAATACAGGTTAGTGTG